AATCTCAGCTTGGTAGCAAAGATTCTGATTAAAATTTAATAGAGATCAGGAATATTATGAATTTAGTGTAATCACTTATCGCATTTGCCCGTGGATCTCCAAAACGACTGGCGTGTCGTTTTGGAGATCCACGGGCAAATGCGATAAGTGATTAATAAATTTCGAAATGTAGAGAATGTAGAAAACGGAAAATCACTGCGGTTATTTTGCCCCACTCGATGGATCCTTAGAAAACCGTCTATTATACCTATTACGAGTAACTATTCTGCCATCATCAACTGGTTAGAGAATTTTGAAAATCATTATGATAATTCAGCCAAAAATAAGTCAGAAGCAGAGGGTTATTTGGAATCTTTTTGTAAGTTTGACACGTTTTTCAAATTTTTGCGCATGATTTTTACGATATTCGAAGATGCTAATACAGCAATCCAAGGTAAATATTGTTTTATTTCATAGTGTTTTTTTTTTAAAATATAATATTTTAAGCAAGTTATAATGTTAAACATTGGGGTTCTGTAGTGAACGAACGTTCGGAATAATATAAAGTTTGGATATAATATAACGTATAATAGAACGTTCGGATATAATATAAAGCGCAAAGCCACGGCTGTTTCACTCAATATAAATGCGAGCCTGACGTCACGAGTTTATCAAAAAAAAAAGTATTTCCGCATAAAAAGTATAAAAATTCATTAAATTTAAAATAACAGTATTTTTTTTCTATAAATGCTTTCATCTTCAAATAAAAAAAATATAAAAGATCTATCTTTCCTTGTTAAATAAACATTTACATTAAAAGGAATAAAAATGAAAGCTGTAAAAATATTGTTAATAATTTGGCATCACTTTTCTGATTTTTGCGATTTTTACGCAAAACCTGTCTTAGGCCAACTAAGATTTGATAACATAGCTACATGGTCGATGGTTGAAATTTAGAACAGTTATTAATGAATGTCTGTTCTATCTAGATTTCCACAGACTTTGCAAGTTTTTATATAGAAAGTTAGTTTTTAATGCATTTATATTTTTGTTTTTATTCGTTTTGAATAAAAAACATAACATTTTTGAAAAGTCTGTGGATTTAGTAATACTTCAACCTTATATGAATAAGAAAATCAAAAAATTATTTTCTGTACCTCTAGCTATGTTATCAAATATGTTTTCAAACTTGGCATGTTTAGCGACATTTTTTTTAGTTTTTTTTGCATAAATTCTTGTTTACATTTTAAAGCGGTGACGCAAACTCTGATCGTTACGTCCCCAACGATTATCGGATGCATTTTAAGAAAACAAACAAAACAAACGAGACACATTTTATAGAATAAATAACAAAGTTTCGCGGATTAATTTCTCTTAGATATTTGACTAATTTCAGATAAGTTGATTAATCCGATTTTATCTAGTGCATCTATTTGTCAATATTATTCTATTTAAGTTGTTTGTATTATAATTTTATTACTATATCAATAAAGATTATAAAGCAAAGTTTCGTGGATTATTTCCTCGTGGATATTCGACTAATCTCAGATAAGTTGCTTAATTCTTTTATTTTTAGTGTATTTATTTGTAAATATTATTTTATTTAATTTCTTTTATTATATTATTATTATAATATCATTATCATTATTTATGTGATGTATGCAACTGAGAGGGAAATTTTGAAACTGTACATCGGTTGGGAAGATGGTTGGGAAAATGAGTATAACTTTAATTTTGTAAAGCGAGTAATTGACACTAGTAAGATTACTAACAATGTGATTTCAATTTTATTAACAGTTTTTCATCCAAAAGCGTTGTTTACTTTTTTAAGTTTTCTTTTGCCAATTGAGTTTAATATGCCTAATATTGATGTGTTAAATAAAATGTGCCGAAAAATAAAACAAAGAAAAAAAGATTCTAAAAAGTATTTTGAAGCTTCAAAAAACAAAGCATTTTTTAAAATGCAACTGTCTCCAGCTCCACAAACAAAAAAACAAAAAAAATCAGCAGATGCAGATAATTTTTATATTTTAAATAGGAATAAAGAACTAAGTAGTCAAGTTGAACAATTAATTTCTAAAGAAAAAAATAATGTGGAGCAAATAGATAATTTAAAAATACAGGTATCAAAGTTGGAAACTGAAGTTATATATTTAAATTCTAAAAACAAGGCTCTCAACGCACATTGTAACTCATTAAGTTCTCAATTAGAGACTATGAGTATTAGGCTAAAACAGGAGGAGCAGTTCCAACTTTTTAAAAAAAAAAAATTAAAAACAGCACACCGTAAATTTGCATCTGCTCGTGCCAAAAATGTAAGATTGCTAAAAAAATTTAAATTTGAAAAAAAAAATGCAAAAATCAGTGATATAAACAAGAACAGTTGCCAAATTTGCAAATATTTTGCTAGCAGTGATAAGGATTTAGTTGTCGTTGATTCTTATTTAGACTATGACAACATTGGTTCCTCTGAATTATTCTGTGGGTTTAAATTAAGTAATCCACAGACTATATCAGTTAAAAAGCCAATAGTTGGTAAGAAATATACTTACATTAAGTTAGGAGATGGTAAATCTTATTCTAAGTTAGGTAGGCATGCTGCAGCTAGACGATCTAAACTTGCTTTTATATTCCTTCGATTATTAGCTTGTTCAGATTTGGAAAGTGATTTGTCTATGTTGTTTTGTGATTCTGTGTCTTGTGAAAAGTCTATGTTTCATTGTGTTGCAAATAAGTTGGGTTTAGTTAGGCAGTTAAGTGTTTCTGATGCTGTAGAGCTGCAGAGCCAATTAAGGATGCCCACGGCTGAATTCCGTAGGCTAAGACGTATTCTGTGTAATCTTGGTGCAAGGATTCTCCCATCTGAGCCCAAGATAAGACAAGAACAAGAAATGCGGACAATGCATGTTAGTAAAGAACATGTTACTGTAAAGTCCATGTTGCTTTATCCATCTGCGAATGAAGCACCTTGTTTAGTACCTGTATTGATGGTCAAGAATTTGATAACTTATATTGAAGAGGTTTTCAATAGTCTGCACGTTCGTGACCACTTCAATTCTGATGTCGGTTTTTGCGAAGAGGTATGGCTCCTTTTTGCTGGGGATAAGGGTGGGAAGTATATGAAATTCCATTTTGAAGTTGTCAATTCTAAATCATCAGGGTCTGTATATGATGTTCATTTATTTTGTATGTATCAGGGTTCAGACTGTCGTGAGAATATTGCCTTAGTTCTCGGGCATTATGCCAACGACATTAAAAGAATTCAGTCGTCAGATTTTAAGCTAAAAGGCAAAATAGTCAGGTTGTTCTTAGGTGGAGATTTTCATTTTATCGATGATGTTCTGGGACACCAGGGTTCAGCTGCTAGCTTTCCTAGTTCTACAGACCTAGTTAAGTTGAATTCTCTAAGAAACCATGCTTCTATGCCTCACACACCTGCTAATTGTAACATCTTAAGGAGGACAATACAATCTCTGGAAAGTGCTTACAATGAGAACTTGTGTGAAGATAGACAAGGTGGAAACCTAAGAGCTCTAGGTAAGTTTCATAATTCAATTATTGCTCCTGTGATTTTCCCCATAATAACTTTAGATAATGTAGTGCCACCTGTTTTGCATATTATGTTAGGAGTTGTGTTAAAACTTTATAAGTTATTGTTGAAGGAGTGTAAGACTTTGGATTGTCAAGCTGTTTCGTCTTTGTCGCATAATGAGAATGTGAGAACGAATGAATTGTGGGCTGCTAATGTAGCATCAAATGTATAGCTAACTATTTTAATTTGTGATCAGAGCAACTGGTATGTTTGTTGGATATGATTTTGTATGTTTATGTAGTTAAATCAAAAAACGTTTTATCCTTTGTTATGTAATATGTAACATTTTTTATATATATTAGATCTCCGTTCAATTTTTATCATCAAAAGTTAGTTCTACCTTCGCAGGACCTCTGCTCTACATACCTCCTCTCTAGTTAAAGAATGGAATATAAGTCTCATTTATCAAGTTGTTGTAAAAATTTAGCTTGATAAATTAAGAAGTTGTAAACTTTATTATCACAATTGCCAAGTTGACCAAATGTTCTTCTGGTTTTAAATGAATTATGTATGAGTCTAGTATCATCTGGGTGTTCAAAGATAGTTTACTGCTTGAAGAACTTATCAATGGACCAACTAATTATAAAACAGTTTTTAATGAAAATAAAAACGAATTATCAAAAGATTTAAATCAGCTATTTGTGTATATTTAAACACTTTATTTTTTGTGAAAAGAGATTATTGATACAAGTAACCATAAAATAATTCTACTACCAAAAGCTAGGTTAATTCAAAACCTTTAACTCAATTTTGGTCATGAATTATTTTATTAGAATTGATGAGTTTTTATTTATTAACTACCTAACACCATATTATTAGAACTTTATTTTGTAATGTAATGATTTTATCAGCGTTCCAAAATAATTTTCTAAATCAAGAACTTCTATATTAAAAAAAGTACTCATTTAACAACTAATCCCCCCTTATAACAACGTTTTTCATAATTTTGCGAAAAATGTGGTTTGCTTTCACAATTCGATTAAGGCTGTTTTAGTTAACCTTAAATAATTAAGTAAGGTTTTTTTGTTTTCATTATTGTCAAACAATAAGTGTATTTGATAATAACTATTAGGAATATATTTTTCTAATTTTTTTTTGATAAAAAGTAACATCAAATTACAAAAATTTAGCCAAATTCAATATATGTCATATTTATTCTAAACTAAAAGAAGTTTTTCTACTAATGCATTAAATGTTATAAGGTAAAACATTTTATTGATGTCTTAATTGTTTTTACAAAACAAAATTACCTCTTATATTTCAAAAGTTATAAAAGTTTTAGTAACACCCCTTTAGTCAATATTTTCAAAAATTAACAAGAAGCCGTTAAGCTCGGTTTGAAACAGCCGTGAAGCAATACGGAAGCGATCGGACGTGTTTTATTTTCTTGAAAAAGATTATCTTTAAATTTACATAACTTAAATTAAAAATGGATTTTACTATGGCGAGTATAGAACTAATGGTAAATGTATTATTGGATAAACAAAAAAACACAATAATAGAAGAAACTCAAAAGTTGCTAAAAGAACAAGAAAAAAGTTTTACTGCAATTACGACTGCGAATATAAAAATAATAACCGGAAGATTTGATAAACTTAAATCAGACATTTTAAACAACTCTGCTAAAATTGCTACGATTACTAATGCGTTAGAAACGTCTAATCAAAAGATATTGCTTTTAGAAACTGAATTAAATAAAATTAAAAAATTTATCCATGTTAATGATGAAATAGTTGCATTGAAATTTGAAATAGTTAAAGAGAAAACAAAGAAAGTTAGCAGCCAAGTAAAAGATAAGAGCACTGTGAACAAAATAAATAAGAAGTTAAGGGAGATAGAGGATAGATCTAGGAGAAACAATTTAAGAATAAACGGAATAAAAGAAAGCGAGCATGAAACATGGGTAGAAAGTGAGTTAAAAGTGCTTAAATTATTTGAAGAGACGCTTGAAATCAAAGAAGTGAAAATTGAACGGGCGCACAGAACCGGACCAAGAGGTGAAAATAAAAATAGAACAATAGTATTAAAACTCTTGAACTATAAAGATAAGACAGATATTATGAAGAGATCAGTGAAATTAAAAGGTATGAATTTTTACATAAATGAGGACTTTTGTTTTGAAACTGTTCAGATAAGAAAAGACTTGAAGAATAAAATGTTTAAGCAGCGAGAACTGGGAAAACATGCGTTTATCTCTTACGACAAGCTAATCGTGCGCGAATATGGTCTGAAAAGAAAATTGACGCAAAAGATTGCCAAGTATAAATTTACTTTGATTTTTTGATTTTTAATATTTGACGAGAATTTTCTTTCATTGTATAAATTTATTTGCATAAAATGAATCTCTATTATACATTCATTTTATGAAATGTATAATAGAGATATTTTATTTACTTAAATTCACAATAAAATTCTTTTAGCTCTATATCTTAAAATACAAAAATGAACTCAAAACTACTAAACAATTTTGAGTTGAATTCTTTTAATTTTTTTCAAACAAATGAATTTGTTGTAAACAAAGATACTGATCCTGGTTCAATTTATTTTAGTGAAGCAGGTGCTTTGTTAAACAATTGCTCCTATTTTTATAACAATGAGCTAAAGGAATTTCTTAAACGAGATCACTTAAATATAATACACTTTAACATAAGAAGCTTAAAAAATTTTGAATCTTTTAGGAATAATATTGAGGAAGCTTTAAACATTTTTAACATTATATGCGTAACGGAAACTTGGTGTAGCTCCGATGAGGCAAAATCAAACTCAAACCTCCATCTTCCGGGTTTTTATTTTGTACCTTTAGCACGCAAGACTAAAAAACGAGGAGGTGGAGTACTATTTTATGTAAGCGAAAAAATGCGGTTTATAAATAGGCCTGACGTGAGTATTTCTGATGCCGATAAAGAGGTTTTAACAATTGAAATCTTAGCCAAAAAAAAAAAAAAAAAATTCGCCTTTTCGCTATTAATTTTTCAAATTTCACGCGTAAAGCATGATGGGATAACGGAGGCGCAAACAAACCAAAACAATTTTTAACTAAGTAAATTAAAGAAAATAAATAAAGAAAGACTAAGTAAATAAAACATATAAATTAGAAAAAATAAAATTATATAAATTATAAAATGGGTGGGTGGGGGGGGGGGATCATTGCGTCGTTCAAAACTGCAACAACGATAGAAGATATCCAAATAAATACGCTATCAAAGACCATATTAACAGTTTTAATGGTAGTTTGCAACTAAAATACAAGGACGCTAAGATGTTGCCTAAATGGAATTCAAAAATTGGACTTTTTAGAAGTCATTTTAGAGTTTCTCTTAACTCGCCAGTCTGTTCAAATCATTTTAAAATGGGACGACCTACTAATATTTATCCCTACCCCACAGAATATTTAAATGGTTATGATAATGAGCTAAAAAACCGAAAATCTCCATTAAAAAGATCCTCAGAACTCAACAAGAAAAAGTTTGTTGCTAAGCTTAGCGATAATCATTATCAAAATGAATATAATCACGATCAAAATATAATTAATCATGATAAAAATAATGATTATCATCATCAAAATGAAAATACTTAGCCTATGGATATTCATTATGATCACGATTATGCATTACCTGTTGTTCCTGTTTCTGTTTCGTTAGAAAAAGACTTAAAAATACTTCAAAATACTCCCAAAAGAATCCTAAAAAAACCTTTGTTATTAAAACATCGTAAACGATTGCTGAGTAAGTTTTCTTTGATACCACAAGCAGAGTTTACTTGGAATAGGTTATCCCATTCGGATAGATTGATAAAGTTCTACACTGGGTGCACAAAAAAAGTATTTATGTTTTTAGTTAGTAAAGGAAAGAAAAAATATGAAAACGTATGTTATTACAAGGGAAAACCTTCACAATCTTTTAAATTTAGAAGCGAGAATAAAAAAAAACCAGGGAATAAACGCACTTTAACAATTGAGGATGAAATTCTACTAATGTGCATGAAGCTCCGACTAGACTTGGCTATTCAAGATTTAGCATTTAGATTTTCAATTTCTAATTCTCAATGCTCAAGTATATTAACTACCTGGATTACTTATTTTGGAAATGAGTTAAAACCTCTTCTTCTTTGGCCAACAAAAGAAGCAAATTTGTTATATAAACCAAGGCATTTTTCTGGAAAGTTACACAACGTAGAAGGTATAATAGACTGTACTGAGCAAAAAATTCAGAAACCATCAAATGCGAAGGCACAGTATCAAACATTTAGTACTTATAAAAGTTGTAACACATTAAAAAAACTAGTTGTGACAACAAAAACTGGTTCTTTCAGTTTTATCTCCAAAGCTTATGGTGGCCAAGCTTCAGATAGACACATTACAGAGGACTGCAATGTTATTAATATGTTTTCTGAAGGATCTGTTTGCTTGGCTGATAAAGGTTTTAATATCCAAGATTTGCTCTTAAAAAAAAAAGTCGTATTGGTTTGTCCACCTTTTAAAAAAAAAGGACTACATTTTACACGAACTAAAGTCCTCTCAGCCAAAGAAATTGCTAGATCACGAGTCCATGTGGAGCGATCAATTCGACGACTTAAAGAATTTAATATATGTAAAAACGAGTTATCACTAACAATGCTAGATCTCATTAATTACATATATATTATTTGTGGAGCTTTAAGTAATTTACAACCCTCAATTGTAAAGGGAGTTATCTGATGTAAATTAAATATGCTGATACTAATAAAAAGATATCTCTATTTTTTCTTTTTATTTTTGTATAAAAAAAAACAAAACATCACAAAATACTTATAATATAAATGTTTTCATCAAATTTTCAGCACAATGTCATATTTTTTGTTGATCAAGATTTATGATGTCGTTTGTTAATTTTTCATTAACTTGTTTACTGTTTGAATCATTAATGCATTTCTTTATGAGATCATTTAAAATTGTAGTAACTATTTCTTTTTTCTCAAGTTTCTTAGTTATCAATTCAGGGAAAACATACTCTGTAAAAAATTTCTGAAATTTTTGTTCATTTTTTTTATAGTTAGGATCAGAATAAATTCTTTCACAGTTTTGATCACTTGCTAAACATACATAGAAATCAGCATGAGGATAGCCACTTATAAACAACTGGTGTTGTATTTGGGTGCGATATTGATGACTACTTTTCAGTGAGTATGTGTTAATACAAGAATGTTTTTCAAAAAAACTTTCAGCACTTTGAGCATATTCACATATTTTTTTCTGCCTAAATGTCCATGGACATTTAATTTCAAGCAAACCCAACCCACAACAAGTACAACTTGTTATACCATCTGGGCTTGCTGTAAGATAAGGTGTTTTGATGGATACTATTAGGCCGGTTTGATAACATGTAAAGTTTTTATGAGTTTTTTTCATTTCCCTGATATATCTTTTTCGAGCATAGGATTCAAACATGTTACCCCATTGAATTGATTTACTTTTAGCATTATTTTTGTAACATAAAATTTGAGCACATAAATTAAATGCTGCCTTTTTGTTTTTCACTTTCAAGTCAACATCAAATTTTGCTATGACAGCATGAGCAATAGATGATGATATTGTTCCAACTCTATATGATTTCCAAAGTAAACTTTTTGATTGAGATATCGTAGCTTCTTTTATAAGTTCTGCTTGAGATGGTGTTATTGAAAACGTCCTTAAAAATTTTTCACATTTAAATGTTATTGATTCATTCTTATAAGAACATTCTATCTGAGCTACATAATGCTCTATGGTAGGTGGTAGCAGTTTGTTTTTAGTTGCATTTAAAGGTAATTTTTTCATAAAGTATTCTGACTGTATATTTGGCTTGAGGCAAATTACAGCACATTTTCTATCTGTTGCTTCTGCAACTGCTTCCCAATCTTCCTTTGTAAACTCTGACTGCTTTAAATAATAAGGACGAGGATCATATAAGAATCGACTGAGTTTTAGATTACTATTTTCTAAGCTTGATTTGACTTTTTTAATGGAAATATTTTGAAATATATCTGGCTCATGCAATTTTCTCTTCTGTGTTTTAGTCCCCCACTTTTGTTTTACTGATGTGCATGTTACATTATCTCCTAATCGCACATGCTCTTCGACAAACAACAACAAAGCAAATATATGTTTGCAGCTTTCTCCATAACCGGCTACACAATTGCATTCTGCAGTGAATATACTTCCGTTTTTATTCAAACATACCCATGATTCATATTCTTCATCATTTATTCTTGTTTGAGGGACTACAGTTCCTTTTAAATAACAAAATTTTACAGCATCTGATAAGCTGTTAAAAGCAACTGAGGTTACATGACCTGAAGAATAAAGAGAATGTCCTTCTTTCAAGGCTTTAGAGCTGTGAGTGAGAAAAGAATAAGTTTCAATGTCCAAATAGTTTGTGGTTGGTAATAATTTTATTACTACTTCTTTTTCTAACACCCAATTTCCGATTTCAAAAGGATGGGGAAGCTGGACACCTGATTTTAATTTTAATTTTTGAAGAGATCTGGATTTAATTTCTTCAGTTTCTTCTTGTACAGTTTTATTTAATGGTAATTTAAGTTTATTGGCATAATAAACGTTTTTTAACAATTCTTTTTTTGAAGGATTTTCACCAAGAGGAATACTCCTTGCTTGCAGGAATTCCTTCAGTTTAACAACATTCCAATTTTTAATTTCATCCATAAATGGTTTAATTTTTTCGTTATCAGAGGAAGAATCAGATATTGTTACAGTATTGTAGAAAACAGTAATGTTAAATAATTGTTTTTTGTAAATGCAATGCATTTTAGTGAAGCTGCACCGAGCAGTGTACGCCTTAGGGATGAATAATAAGTTAAAAAGAGTTTAGCAGAGTGAGATAAAAGTACAAAAGGACAGATGTCCAAAGGAAAACAAAGAGCCTCAAAGTGGAAAAATATTAAAAACTGATATGAGTAAAGTGTAGTAAAAAGTAAATAAAAATAATAAACAACAGTGAAGGAAAGTCATTAGTTGTTGTGCTACTAATTTGTTCTTAGAGTCCAGCGTAAATGCGATTTGTAGATAGAATTGGTAATGGAGTAGAATTATTCGTTTTATAAGTAGTCACCATGTGGTTTGTATTCTGAGGGTGATAAACCTTCATTATAGATGTAAGTGTCATGAACGTCTCGAGTACAGTATGAATTCGTGCCTTATGGTGCAGTGTGAACGCATAAAGACCTCCAGCTTTCATCCGAAACTGGTATCCCAAAAGAAGTTCCACTCTGGGTCTACACCAGGGTATCTTTTTAAAGGTATCCCATTGTGTTATCCCAAAAGGACTATTCTCAGAGTATCCAGTCAGGAAGACTGCCACAGACTCCTGAATTGACACTGAGACCAGAGGACACTTAGCGGGGTTTAGTTCAACTTGCAAACAATAGTAAGTAGTTTTTTGACATAAGTGTCTATTAAGTGTTTTTTCAAAGCGTAGCATGGGTCAATGAGAGTTGTGAATTGTTTTGAGTTCATTTAGGTATATGTAATGTAAATAGATATTGTGTTTTATGTGTATAACTATTGTAGTAGCATGCCTCAATAGTAAGAGTTATTAGTATAAAAAATAGTTAAAAGGTCCTTTAAGTTGGTGTACCGTCAGCTAGGCGTGATTTGTAGTAGTCCTATGACGTGTTTCTGGAAAATAAATTACCTATTACAACTAGATGATCTAAAATATTTAGCTAGAATTACATTAATATAACAACAAAAACTAATGTGTAAATTTGAAAAAATCTATATATAAAAATTACTACTAATTCATAATAACCATATGGAGTTTTGTAGTTTAACTGGTTAATATGAGGTTTTGAAAAAGTGTTTGGTATTTTGTGTAAGTAAAAAGAATCACAGTACATAAGTCACGTGACTGTGATGTTATGAGAAATATTTAAAATCGAGTAGAATTATTCGTTTTATGAAAATCATGGCTTGTTTTTGCTTAATAATATTAATAGTTACTTGTGTCTTAGGTTATCAGATAATGTATGTAGCAGAGTTGGAGTAGAGTTATTTGTTTTTTAAGTAGTTGTCAGATGGTGTATGAAAGAGAGCTGAAGTAGAATTAATCGTTTTTTAAGTAGTTATCATATGGTGTATGAAAGAGAGCTGAAGTAGAATTAATCGTTTTTAAATAGTTATCATATGGTGTATGGAAGAGAGCTGGAGTAGAATTATTCGTTTTTTAAGTAGATATCAGATGGTAAGGGTATTATTATAATAACCCTGACAGAAGTGTTAAAGTAGATTGTACATGATAGTCAAAATTTTAGAGTGTGTACGGTGACAGTAGTAGTTAGTAGTTGTAATGGTTATGGTTAGCTGGAGTTGTATATTAAATATGTATGATTCAAGTAGTATCATATTAAAGCATATATACAAATACATATACAAATGCAAATACATTGAAGAAAATACAAATACCCCTATAAATACATTATAGCACACATGTAAACACACACACACACACTGATAAACAAGATTATATGTGTATTAATGCAAACACATGAGTATGTATGTATGTATTCACACACGTGCATGCCTACATACACATATATATATATACATACATACACACACACACATACACATATATATATATACACACACATACACACACACACATACACATATATATATATACACACACATACACACACATATATATATATATATATATATATATATATATATATATATATATATACACACATACATACACATACATACATACACACCTACATACATACACCCTTATGATTATATATACATATATTCTTCTAAGTATCCCTAAATCATTTATATGTATTATATACATTACAATAGCTATTTCACACATTTTTTTGTGTTGAATAGGTGTTGGAGTAATGTTTTAATGATCTAATCTTAGTAAAATATAGCCTTATAGATATAAATTAGCAAATATAGCTTCTAGAAGTATCAGTATAAATATTAGAATGATAAGCATAAGTGTATTGAAGTGTAGATGATCAAAATGTAGGTGTTTTAATATCCAATTACCCATGTAGTGTCAAGATGACATTCTCATCAGGACCATTAGTTGTCATCAGGGAGTTTCGAAGGTCTGGCGCCTGACCAATGGTCGACACCCTGTGGACACTACTTTGCTAAAATGGAGCACGTGCTCAGAATTTGTAAAACACCAGTATTTTATAATGGGGTATGTCTTAACCTTAATATGTTCTTTTCTTGGTCAATATTGACAAGGGTTTTTGTATATCTGTTTAGGAATGTTAATGTAAACATTCACACAGATATCTTATGACATTTATTCTGTACCATAGACATACAACATAAAGTGATAGTCATATTGGTACATACTTATAAACTTTTACTATAGTTAAAAACTTAGTAGCATTTAGCTAATTAAGAAAAAACATAGACATTTGTCCCCTTATAAATAAATATTGGTACATAAACTTTATCAATAGATATAATTGTGAATAGAATAAAAGAAAGTTAAGTAACAAAAACATGTTTGCTTACCATTCTGAAAGTAAATATTATCTTTTGGGTTTAAATCGTGACGAAGATGTAAGATGTTCTTGATGATGAATATTAACTCGTCGTTGTTATAAAAGTTAAATTTAGAGTTATAAATAAACAAAGATATACAGGAAATGTCAAGATTGATAAGAATCTTAATCCGTCTAAATATCCAGAGAATGTAAATAAAT